CCGACTCCCTTGGATAAATTACTAGTGGTTCACCAACCCGTTTATACCCTCGGATATTGACTTTTGTTCCCCTCAATTTGATGGGAAAACACCTCCTCTACGAGAAATCAGTGAAAAGGGGTTCCTCAGTAGAAGCTATTTGAGACGCTTGGTCATAATGAAGCATTTCGCGTGGTGCAAGAGAGGGGTGACCATAAGCAACCCGAGATACCCACCTCCGACCATACTGAAGTTTTCATTTAGTTAAGTTACCCTTTTTGCAGGACATAATCTATGGCAAAGTTGATGAGAAACGTAGAGATAAGACAACCCTGTCGTACCCCACTAGTAACGGTAAGCGAAGTGGAAAATTAAGCAGAGATCCTAATCTCCCTCGAGATCTGAAGATCAAGTGCTTTTAGAACCAGAACATACCTCTTAGATGTTCCGTATCTCAGCGAACAGTTCCACAGAGGATGGCTGTTATATAAACCACAGAGTTAGTGTCTAAGTATCATAAAGCTTCATACGTGGACCCAAAAGGAAGCGATATTTATTGATTTTTATAACAGTTACATCTAGCTATACCACTGCCCTTTATATTTGGACAATTTTCGAAACATGCAAAACGTTGTGTCCCTACTATGTAACTGCTTGGCCAGCTGGGGAATTTCGTACTGTTCTCTTGCGCACCGAAAAATTTACCGTCTTACCTTTCTTCTTTGCAGTTGATGCTATGATCTCACCGACGGATGAGCTTAATTGTCCGTTGTGTGGCATTTGTATGAGACAGTGGACAACAGCCAGACGAAACTTACATTTGAATGCGTGTTGTGAAAAAGCAGTAAGTGCTATTTTAAATAAGAAGGACCGTAATCACGGCAGATCTCCTCCATCGAATATTGTCCCGGATGCCACAAGTCACTGATAAACCAGGTGAGAAGGATACATCCACATAACCTATTTCACCTGGTTTTCAGGCTGCTCGTACGCATTTGAAGCAGTGTGCATCACGCCTGAAGATGAAACTTGTTAACTTTATGGCTCTTTCATTCGTGCAACAAAAACCAACATTGTAATTCATCTTTTCCTGTCGTAACTCTTCGCTGTTGCTTTCAGTCATCACACCGAATTGAAACGCTACATACCCGCGTCATGTACTGCACCCGATGGGTAGCTCTTTTAGTAACTCGTAAATTTAATCTCTTTCTCGTAATTAGTACGGCGGATGAAGACATGCAAACTGCAGTTGCTCTGTCCTTGTCCGTAGTCGAAGAAGATCGGCAACGAAAACTTGAAGCGAAATTGGGGGAAAAGCTTCATCCGTCCGATGTAGGACCGCCATCTCATCTTTTAATCTCGGAAGAACAACGATGTGCCATCTTTTCAGAACGGCTAGCAACACTTATTTCCAAGGTGAAAATAATGTTTTTTAATGATAATTCCGGGATGGTTTGGTTATACTCATCACATTTTGACTGTTCTGCTCTCCCACCATACGTCTACTGTGTCTCGTTCCATTTGAAAGCAACCGGTGGCAAAGTTTGCTAAGTTTGTTGACTAATGAACAACCCTCTTTTGTTCATTGTCTACTCAGCGATACCATCTAATGATTCCCCTATTTTCCTCTGGTTTTTAATCTGATCATATCATTACTGATCAAAATCTTCGGCTGCTTCTCGCTTGTCTTTAACATGTTTGTTTGGGACCCCGATCAGTCACATTATCGTTATCTACTGAAGGTTCTTAGTTTGGCTCGCCACTTCTATACATTTCTGTCTATTCTGATTTTTTTGTGGTGCTAAATTCCTTTGTATCCTCCTCAAATGTACCCACGGTAGTGCACCTAACGGCCGTCACTTGAGTCTTACCCATGACAGCAGCAAATGATTGAAAAAAAAGTCCCAATTCTCGTGCTACTTCAGAAGATTACATTATCAAGTCGAGTCAAGGCCGGTGATCAGCTTTCATCATCCTTTGCCGTCGCTATTTTAGTGCAGCAACGCCATCTTATATCGCCATTTCCGTTTTAACTTTTCCTCAGAGGATGTCTTTCACAGGGCCTTGTCGGATTTAACAAATTGTGAAGTTGAACTCCTCCCAGAGGACAAAGTTTCTAGTTTTAAATATGCCAAAGACATCGTATTTGAGAATGATAGTGCACAAATAATCTAGAATGCTTTAGACCGCTCGACGACCTAGTTATCTAGATATGGTATCTGCTGTGCAAAGTTTTCATACGAGAGCGACATAAGCCCGTGTCTGCACCCACTCTGTGGTGATAAAATACATAAAGTTCAGATATTTTAGTACCTCGGGTGCTTAAGCTGCTTGAGTGAAGGTTTTTGGTCCTACCCAGCCTTACTCTAAATCGGGAAGTAATAGAGCAAGTGGACAAATTTTGCTATCTGGGCAGCTTTATCTCACCCGGTGGACGCATCACGGATGAAGTGTCAGCTCGCATACAGGAGGCTTGGTTGGCATTTGCCAACTTGAGACATCTGTGGCGCTGTCGTGACTTCCGGCTGTCTGTGAAGTGTCGATTGGATGCCGCGGCAGTTCAGCCAGTTCTGCTAAACGGCACAGAAACTTGTCCATTAAGAAAACAGGACGAAGATAGAATGTCGGTGTTCTAACACCGCTGTCTACGCAGCATTGCACGAATCTAGTGGGGTAGCCGGATGAGCAATGCTGAGGTGAGGCACACAGTATTAGGTAAATGCGGTCGCCCACTGGAGCAAGTGGTCGACCTCCATAGAGTACGTTGGTCTTGGGCATGTGTTACGCATGTCACCAAATAGGTAGCCACGGCGAGCGATGTTCGTCGAGGCAAGTAGTGGGTGGAAGAAAGTCAAGGGTGTTCAAGCTAAGACCTGGAATGAGGGTATGAAAACCCTCACCAGGAGTTTG